GACCAGGCTTCATCCCTAGGTGGTGGGGTCCCCCTTGTCCTTTACACCCAGCTAAAGGGGCGCTGTCTGGAGAAGCATCCCTCCCCTTGCTAAGAGTGCTGCGACACAGGCTGGCCAGGGAGCCCCGCCACTCCTTGGCTCCAGAGCCTGGGGGTTATGGCCCCGGGCAGGAGATTGAATGAGGGGTGGGTGGCGGCCAGCGGGGGTGAAGGGGCAAAGGAGAGAAGGCGGCTGGTTGGGCGGTTAGTGCTTGTGCAGGTCATTCCTGGTGGCAGCTGCAGCATGTGGCCCAGCCCTGGGTGCTCTGAGCATGACCCTGCATGGCCCGTCTCATAGCACAGTGACTTACACAAGCCCAGAGCGTGTCCATGGTGGCACGTCTCCCCCGTGAGAGGTGGCACCGAGCACCAACATTCGTGTTCGTATCGAATTCGTGTTCGTATCTCTAGGCACAGACCAGAGGCACCGCTGGCTCACGGTGTTGGCCTGGATGGTCTCTAAGAATAAACTCCGGAAAGTCAGGAGACCGAATAAAATGCCAAAATCTATCCAGGCTTTGTCACAAGGTGACAGCAGTTCTAGACCCTCCTCTCAGCCCTGCTTCCTGGGGGAGGGGCAGCCTCCCGTTTGCCACAGTCCTCTCTGCTCCCCAAACACTGCCGGACCAGGCAGGAGCCAGTTGCTGTTTTATCACGGACTGTATTTGGGGGGGGGGGGGGGCGTGATGGGGACAAAATATGCCTGTGAAATAGTTCCATGGCTTCTGAGAGCAGGAGAAGGAAAGACAGCTTGAGAAACCACTGGGAGGCTCCCTAAGCTTCAGCATGGGGGGAGGCTGAGCTCTAAGAATTCAGAAGTGGAGGACCGTGGGCCGGGGCCCAGGCGTGGGGCTACCTGGGAGATGGGAGGGATGGAGCAGCCCAGGCAGGCGAGGACGCAGGCACATGGACTCTCACCTGCCTTCCTGTCCATGCTGACGCCAGGCCATCACCTCCCTGGCCTCTGACTGCGCGGCCCACCCTCCACTCTCCTCCACCCTGAACCGGCTGCTTCCCCCAGCCTGACCCTCTGGACCACCCCCTCCAGGCCCTTCTGTGACCCACTTCAGTGCCAGCTGCCTTGCTCATATCACCTCTGAATGGCAATCCTGTGACAGGTGGCTACAGACACTTTCTGGTGCAAGTGTCCCAGCCAGCTTAGCACTGGCCCCCAGTGTCACTAGGCCTGGGCCTCAGGAAGTCAGATCCTTCCCAGGCTTATTTCCTCAACCGCAAAGCGTGAGGGCAGAAGCAGTCCCTCACCCTGTCTTGCCAGGAGCCCTCTGCTCCATGCAGTCATTTCTGGATCAGGGGGCCGGGCGGGGCAGGCCGGGGGCCATGGAGAGCACCCTTGCCTGTCCTGGGGAGGGGTGGCAGGCCGGGGGCCAGGGGCGCGCACCTTGCCTGTCCTGGTGCAGTGTATTTAGTTACTGTTGAGGGCCACGCTCCCCCACCTGCCTAGCCATTAAAGTCACCTGGTATTTCACAACATGCCAATGCCCCGCCCCACCGTGGCTCAGCATGGCTGTGGTTGAACCATCCACTCTGGTGCATAGCCAGGACAGATGGCTTTACTGTCCGGTGCTCTCTGGGCTCTCACAGCTCCCTCATGAGTGTTTGATGACCCCTTTTTGCCAGCGAGGTTGAGGCCGAGGTGACTTAGCCTCCAAGGTACCGCTGGAAGCTGAAGTCAAAACCTCCTGCTGACGGAGCGCTGGCCTCATGATGGGCAAGGGGCTTGCAGGCCCCCGCCCCGCCCCCAGGAAAGCCCCAACAGAGCCCCTGACAGTGACAGCTCTTTTCAGGGAGAGGCCAGGCCTGGGTGGCCGGGTGGTTGCAATGGCAGCCTGTACCCACCAGAGGGCACCCTGGCTCCGCACGGCTCAGCTGGACTCAGCTCTGCGAACCAAATGCTTTTTAATTGAAATTTTTTTTAATTCAAAAAGGATTTGCTGTTTGTACTTGAGTGCAGGTTTTCCTTATGCAGGAGACTGATGTCTTGAGTAAACAGATCCGGGCCCAGATCCACCTTCAAAGGTACTCACTGTTTGCCCAAGGGAGTGACAGGGCTTCCAGAAGCAGCCTAGTCTCTTGGGCAAACATTGTGGGGACGAGCAATCCTGGGCAGAGGACAGCGTCTGTGGGAAGGTTATCCTCAGCCTAAGGGGGATTATGTCGGGGGACATATGTTGAAATTTCATTTGGGGAGTTAGGGAAAACAGGAGGGGGGGCGGCACTTTTCTTCAGCCAAGATAACCTAAAAAGGGGAAAAATCCCGAGGGAGAGGGGTGGGGAACAGGCCATCTGTGCGCTGCCCCCATGGCCGGGCCCCTCGGGGTCTCTGTGGGCTCAGGCTGCAGTCAGAAAAAGGGAACGTGTACTCGTGGCTTCCCCCGCTCCCAGCAGACGGCAAGTGAAGTAGGAATCCAGCAGTTTATCCTCGAGCGCGTCCATGCCCCTGCCTGCGACACGGTCTGACTGCTGGCCACAGAGGCTGGCTGCGTGACTCCCCACCTGAGCCTGGCACTGCAGGGCCTGGTCAGCAGTCACCCCGACACCGTTCCAGGCCTCCCCATCTGGGTCACAGGCCCAGCCTGGGTCCTCTGGCTGGTGCAGACCAGCCCTCAGCAAATCCAGGTGACGTGAGTGCCCTGTGGGCTCCACCGTGCCACCCCAGGCCTGGCACTGCAGGCCTCCTGGAGCGGGCCCTGGGCCTCAGCCTGCCCCTCAGCCCTGGGCCTGGTCTCCAGACCTCCAGGTGGGACGCCCCTGCCCCTCGGTCCCTGGTCCCCCATCCTCCCGGCAGCCCATCCTGTGTCTCTGGCCATCCTGACCTCATCGCTCCCAGGTCCCGTGTCTGAGTGGTCCCTGGGTCTGGGTAGTCCCCCTTGCCCTCAGAACTGATCCCAGCACCCATTCACCTGGGAATCCTTGAAAATGCAGTCCCGGGCCCACCCAGACCAGCAGGGTCAGAATCCGCATCCCACAGTCCCCCACCTCATGGTCCCCCAGCCCACGGTCCCCCAGCCCACGGTCCCCCAGCAGGGGCATGCAGTCAAGGTGAAAAGGGCTGCTGGTCTCTTGCCTGGGCTCTGCCCTCTCCCTGGCCCAAAGAGGCTACCCTGCCTCCTGGCCTCCGGCCTCCCCACACCTCTGGCACAGGCTTGTCCCCTTGTCCCCCCACCCTGTGTGCTCTTCTTGAAATGCCCCATGCTGCAGCCTAGAAAGGGAAAAAATCCCGAGAAGAGGGGTGGGGAACAGGCCATCTGTGCGCTGCCCCCATGGCCAGGCCCCTCGGGGTCTCTGTGTGCTCAGGCTGCAGTCAGAAAAAGGGAACGTGTACTCGTGGCTTCCTCATGTACCATGGCCAGGCTACCCGCCAGGCAGCCCAGGTCCCTGCTTCTGTGCTGTTCCCTGGTGTCCTGGCGGCCCTGCCCCAGCCAGGGGCAGAGCTGCGCTCCTTTTGGGCTGATGGCTGTGCCACCATCCTGGTGGACCCACCACCCCAGGCCCTCTGCTCAGTAGGTCTGGGTACCCATCATGCTCTCCCCCAGTCAGACCCCTGCTGTGCTCCAGAGAAATGCCACCTGACTCCTCCTGTGGCCCCATCCTTGTGTGGCTGCCCTTGGATGTGGCCTTCATGCTGGGCTGTGTTGGGAGTGTCTGGGTCCCTCCCTGGGTACCCTGTGAGCCCTGGGAACGAAGACTGTGTGCGGCCTGTGCCTGGTCCCAGCACCCAGTGCAGGGTCAACGCCAGGGTGCAGCCGACCTGAACAGCTCTGTGTGCTGCAGTGTGCGTACCTAAGCAGCCGCCAGGTGGCAGCATTAGCCCAGCCCTTGCCCAAGCGGCCTGTGAGCCCCACACAGGGTGGGCACCCGAGCACTGGCCAGGAAGCGGGAAAGCAAGAGGCCTGGGCGCTGATGGGATGGGCAGGCAGGGACCCAGTGAGTGCTTGCTCCTTTCCAGGGACAGGAGCCCCGAGCTACTGTGCCTCCTGACACCCTCAGGCATCCCTGGGAGTGGAGGGCCTGCCTGAGGACCCCCACGGCTTCGAGGCTCCAGAGCCCCAGCCCCAGCGCAGCCCTGCAGCAGTCCCCTCCATTCTCCAGTGGTCTGTAGCCGGGTGGACCCTGCAGCCCTCAGCTCAGCATCCTCCGTGCAGTCCCCGGGTCAGCAGGGCTGGAGGCCGGCTCACCAGTGTGCCGGGGCATGCGGACAGCATGCTGCGGCTCCTGCTGCCCTCTCCCTGCAGGCCCACCTGCCGGTCCTGAGGCGCTGCCATCCTGGGTAGCCCTCTGTTCAACGGCAGCTCCGCCGTGACCCTGGGGAGCCCTTCGTCACGGCTTTTCTGTGGCTGAACCTTTTTACATAGGTGACCACTGGCCCAGCCCAGGCCCCGGTTCCTCAAACCCACATGAGCGAGGGCACAGCTGCCCAGCGAGTTCCAGGCTGCCCCACAACCCCACCCAGCCTGAGCCTGCGGCACCCGGGATGCCACCTGTCAGGGTGGGCGCTCCTCTCCCGCCCCCCACTTGGGTGTTGAGATCCCTGGCCTGCGGGTGAACTGTAGGAACCCGCGCCCATCCTGGTACTCGCCTTCTCCGGGGAGGTCAGCAGCACAGCCGGGCAGGGGAGGGGTCCACAGCCGGGCAGCCTCCAGGCAGCAGGCTGGTGCTCAGCCTGGCACAGGGTGGCTCACACGGGTTTACCATTGGTATCAGAACCCGGGGGCAGGGGCAGGTAGGGACTGTGAAAGCTGTCACCTGTCACCACCCAAGCCCATCGCCTGACAGGTGTGTTCGCACCTGCACTCGGCTCAGACCCACAGCCCTGGCGCGCACACACCTGCCCACATCACTGCCAGCAGGCACTGGCCTGGCCGGCGTCCTGCCTGGCCTGGGCAGCACGGGGCCCCTGGGTGCACCGGGACTGACTGTGCCCTGCCCGCCCTCTTCCCGCAGTACGAGTACAGCTTCCGCACGGAGCAGAGCGCCGCGGCCAGGCTGCCGCCCAGCCCCACCCGGTGTCAGCAGACTCCCCAGTCCTGAGGAGCGGGGCCTCCGCGGGGAGAAGACGCCTCGCCCAGTGCCCAGACTACTGACAGGGCGGAGGGGGCCGCTCCCCGCCCTGCCCGCCCTGCCCCCAGCCCCGCCTCCACCTCCCACCCCACAAGCACCCAAGACCCTGGGCAGCTGAGTGGTGACCTCCGGTCATTGGCCTGACGAGACCCCAGCCTCCCGGGGACATTGTTCACAACTGCGACTAATCTGTGTGTGCTGTAGTGACCAGCCATTCCTAGCTGTCCATGTGATGACCAGTCGTGCTACCAAACACCTCCCCCAGCTGGAGTCGCCCCCGAGGGCCCGGCAGTCCCTCCGGCCGCCCAGTGACGCACACTGGCTCCTTTTCTCCTGTCACCCACCATAGGAATCCCACAAGCCATCGTTCACCCCCGGAAGGCCACAGGGCTGGCCACTTCATATAGGACCCTCCGGGCTCACTGTCACCTGAGACGCAGGGCTGGGGGGAGCACGTCCCTCCCACCCACAGGCTCAAGTACACCAAGCGCTTCACAGCAGCCCTGAGAAACCGCGGGTGGGGAGGCCAGAGGGCCCCTCCCTCTGTGGACAGCTGTGGACTCTTTGCCCAGTGCATGACTGGACACCAGAGGCCCTGCCACTGGCACAGAGGGGGACTCATTTTCCCGGGAGAGGACAGTGTGACCGGGCACCTGCCTGCGAGCTCTGCTTGCCCTACCCCCCCCCCCAGAGGGCTTGACTGTAGGGCACTCCAGCCAGTGACAGCGCCACCTGCCACGGCCAGTGCCCTGACCCAGTGACTACAGGACATGCCCCACGAGGCCGCCACAGGCAGTGACATGAGAGGTGCCCAGCACTGGAGGACATGGCCACGCTGCCATCAGGCTGCTCTCAGCCCGCTGTGTCTCCTTGGCATCTGCGGACAGAGACAGGTCATCGTGAAAGCCCCCTGACCCAGACCTGGATTGAGCCAGAGCCAGCGTCCCCCGTCCCCGGCACTGGAGGTGCCGAGCTCGGCCCCACACGTCCACCCCGAGAACAGCCACCAGCGCCATCCCTGGGGCCCAGGACTTCAGCCCAGGGTCCTGCTTTGCCCCAGGCCCACAGGACGCGGGTGTCTGACTCCTTTGGGTCCCCAGAGGGGGCTCTGGACCTGAGGGCTTGCTGCGCTTCGGAGGCGGCGCCATGGAGGGGGCTGTGGACAGCAGCCCTCGGCCAGTACAGGCCCCGCCAGCTGAAGTTCCAGGGACGGTCCACAGGCCAAAGGAACCAGAGAGTCGACAGGCTGGCCAGGAGCCGGGGGGCCCCAAATACCTCACCACCTGCGTCGCCCCTCGGCCCCCAGGGCCTCAGCCGCACGCGGCGGGCCAGCCTCCTCCTCGGCAGCTCCTCGTCTTGGCCCCTCTTCGTTTCTGTGTGTCAGCAAGTGGCTGCTTGGCCCCTTCCCAAGACCTAAGGGCACCTGTGAGGTGACCCTCCCACACCTCTGGGCAGCACATGGCAGGGAAAGGCCCCTGCCAGGCCCAGGAGGCCCCTTCGCGGGCCGGTGCTTCACCAGGAGGGCTGGCGGGTGGAGCCCAGCACCCACAGAACAAGCCAGCTGTGCTCCAGGGCCTGGGCACCCCAACAACCTGCTCACTGCTGCTTTTTTGATGGTGGTTTATCCAAAACCAAGCGGCCAGCACAGCTTGAGGCTGGACAAAGGAGGGAGGCCCCAGGGGCCGCAGGAGGGTGCAGGAGGGGACTCTGCACTTCGTTTTGGTTTGTATACTTTGTTGTTCGACCTCTTTCCATGCCCAGATTATGAGACTGTCCCCAGCAGGTAACCGGGGTCCTCCTCCTCCACAGTGGAGAAGGCAGCGTCTCCGCAGCGCTGACGGTCCTGGAAGGCCACAGGGCGACAGCAAGATCCCTGGCCAGGGATGGAGATGGTACAGCTGGAGGTGGCGGGAGGAAGAAAGAGGGCAGCCACAGCCCCCTCCGCCACCCTCCCTCAGGGCCACCAGGAAGAGGGCACACTGTGGGCTCTGGCCGGTAGGAGAGGTCTCCCCATGGCATTATGGACTCAGTTTAATAATGACCTTGACTGTGAAGCTTGTGACATGAGCTAATGAGTGGTGAGGTCAAGTTGGGGTTGTTAGACGTTAGGCTGCTCCCCACCCGGGCTCCTGCCTTCTGAGCGGTGGACAAGGATGGGCAAGCGTGTGGGTCACAGCTTGTGCGTGTGCACGCCCACCCTGATGGCGTCGTGCGGACCACAGGACTGTGGCAGAGTGAGGAGTTGAGGGGCCTCTCAAGTCTTAGGTGGGGAATGCTCTGTCCACCAACCCCTGGCCTTTTCTGGAAGCGAGGGACAAGGATGCCCTTGGCTATATGAAGGGCCGCAGCCTCTTCCTTGGGTCCCCCCAGCATGTCCCATAGCTGCTGCTGCCCCTGTCCAGCACCCTGCCCCCCTGAGAGGACCAACCAGAGCACAGCATCCCCGAGCCCTGCCCTCCGCCCTGAAAACTCAGTCGTCTTCTGAGACGTAGCAAATGGCACAAAGTTGACAAGGAGCAGGTGTCACTTGCTCCAGGTTCACTTGCAAATTTATCATGAGGCCTTTTTTTCTACCCCAAATCCAAGAACTGAAGCCAGCCACACCCCACCCCGAGTTTCAGTGAAGACATCACAGCCTACACTGCCCTTGCCCAAGGCCAGAGCCGTGTGGTCTCCAGCGACCAAGCTCATTTTGTAGGAAAAAACCACGGACGCTGGTCGGTGGCCCCCGAGTGCTTCAGAAGGCCATGGGGGGACGGGGCTGACCTGTTCCGAGCAGCCCTCTGCTGGGCACAGGTGGGCAGTCCAGACGCTTTCTCCCATAGCCTCCCCCAAAACAAGACCTAGTAGTTCACGTTCTTTGCTGCCTGTTGCCGATGGGAAACCCGAGATTGTCTCTGGCACAGGCTGGTAAGTGGCAGAGACAGGCTCTGGCCCCAAGGTGCATTGCGCCAATGTCCCCTCATAAGCACATGCCTTGGGCTGACCCTGTTTGTATTCCTGTGACTTCCTGGCTGCCACTGGGCCCTGCTGGTCCACACTGAGCATGGGCCACCCCTATGCAAGGGCTCCCCAGGCTGCCGTTGCAATGCCCCATCCCTTGCCATGTCGGGGGCTCCCAGCCTGCAGCTTCTGAGACCCAGGCAGGCAGAGCCCCGCCGAGCGAGCCCCCGTGCCTCCAAGCCACGTGGAGCTGAGCCCGTCGAGTTTGGTTCAGTCTGCCTGACCCCGGACCCTGCAGGAGGGGCAGGCCACTTGCTCTTGCCCCTGCACGAGGCCCCCTCTCCAGCAGCCTGGAACCTCAGGTCAGCCCAGCTTCCTCCACCTGCTCTAGGTGCAGACCCCTGGGACAGCGGCAGCCCTCACTCCAGGAGCCCGGGCTTTGTCCCTGCGATGGAGGGTGCGTGGCTGCTGTGTGACCACTGGCCTCAGACAAGGACCTGAGGAAGGCCCCCCTTCCTGCATATTTATTCAAGGCAACTCTGCACTTGGCCAGGGAAGTTTCACTGTGTGGTTGTCTGTGTTCTTAATATAATTTGTTAAATAAACGTTCGTTTTAACCTCTCCCCGTCTGCTGTTGTATCTGCAGCCACCAGAGGTCAGTGTCTCTCAGGGCCGCCCCGTGCACCAGCCCTGAGCCTGCCCACAGGCCGGCCGGGCTCCTTGGGACACGGCCACTGCCTGGCCTTCAGCCTTCTAGGAAGGCCGTCTTGCCCCCCACCTGGTTCAGGAGGGTGTGGGGCTCCACCTTCCTCACAGCAGCCCTCAGGGTGCTCCGTGAAGCAGAAGAACCTCGGTGGCCCTGAGAGCTGCACCCCGGCGAGGAACGCAGGGTGCCTCCCGCCCTGTCTGTGGGGTGCACACCACACCTGGCCACGAGGATGCAGGTCCCGATGCCGTCAGGGGGCTGTCCCCACTGCTCACCTGCCTGTAGGACGCCACCCGCCAGGCCGGCCCAGGTGGCCCCTGTCCTGGCGGGCACCCACAGCCCCCTATGAGCACCAGCAGCTCGAGTTTCACTGTCAACATCTCTGCCTCCATTAGCAGTGACCTTTGCATTTCTGGGCTCCACGTCCCAACCAGGGCCGTCCCTGCCTGCAGGCTCTGTTCTTGCCAGACTCTGTGGGAAGGAGCCAGAACTGGCGACCTGAGCTCAGCACTCATCTCCTGGGCACTGCAAGGGTCCCCAAAGAGTGCCAGGGTTCTGTCACTGTCCACAGACACACTAGATCCCTCCCACATGCTGGGCCCAGGACACCAGGGAAGCACATCGAAGTGGGGGCCCTGGACACAGGAGACACTGGACAAAGCACAGGAAGGCGCACCAGGCCCAGAGGCAGAACCCACTCACACCAGCCCGGGTGGGGGTGGGGTGAGCACACGGAACCCACAGCAGGATGGCGCTGAGCCTCGGGTCCAGACCCGGGCGCACCGTTCCTCCACCTCGCCCTGGGCCTCATCAGCCGCCTGGACATCTGCTGGCTTCCCCTCCCACTCTCCGCTCACCAGCATCAGAGGGTCCACAAGCACATGGCCACCATGTTTATCTGTCCCTAAGCCACAGTCTCATGATTCCAAATCCAGAGCCCAGGACAGACTGACAGGTTAGCTGGGCCGGGTCACCCCTTCTGCCCCTGGAAGCTCCAGCCCTGGTGGTGGCATGAGGGTATGTACACAAGCCTCCCGGAACAGGTCCCAGAGGTTCAGACCCATCTGCTAGAGAGGAGGGTGGGCTGAGCAGTGGGGCTGGGGTCCTTCCCAGGAGGAGGAGAGGAGCAGGGCTCCAGGGAGACGGGACCCTGCGGCAGCAGCCCTGGGATGGCAAGGGACGAGGGCACCCGATTGTCCGTGCTGCCAGGTCCTGCTGTGTAGGCACCTTGAGGTGCAGGCCTCGTGCCAGCACTGCCATGAAGCAGTGACCAAATCTGGTGGCGTTCCTGCCCCAGGGGAGTGGGCGGCCTGGCCTGGCCTGCCCCTCCAGGTGCCCCGTCCTCCCGCACCAGTGTCTGCATCAGCTCTCCCCCTGCTTCTCTGGCCACTCACTCCAGCTAAGCCACAGGCTCACAGCTGGGACCCTGGGCCTCCCTGAGCCACCCCATTTCTGTCCCCTCTCTGTGCGGCCTGCGTTTCCGACAGCGCTCAGCTCTGTCCCTGCCATCTCCCCGCGCTCCTGCCACGAGGTCTCCACCTGGGACCCTGTAAGCACATCCGCACCCACAGCCAAACCTGCCGTCCTGTCTGGAACCTGAGCTGCTCTTCCTCCTCTGAACAGCTCAGCCACTCCCCGCAGCCCCCAGGCCACCACCTGGAGCCAATGGAACCACCCACTTCCAGCTGGACAGCTCTCATCCTCAGGTGTCTTCAAACCCAGCCACTGTTTCTCTGGCTTTGCTCTGACCTTAGTGTTGGCCCAACATGGCAGCACCTGCCCTTAGCCACCCTCCCCTGCAGAGGAGAGCCACCTGCTTCCCATCTTCCTCTCTTCCATCTCCTACCACCACACCCAGCTGGAGAGACCCCCATTTTCACTCTCTCCATGCCCCTCACCCTCAGACCCCTCCCTCCTGGGCCTGACACACCTGTGCACACCCCTGCGGAGCTGCCTGGGGTTCCTCAAACCCTGACTCTCGCTGCCTCCTCACCTTGGCCTAAGCTCTTCCCTCTACCTAGGATGCCCCGCCCCCCGTTCTGCCTTCAAGACCCTGTTCCTGCACCCCCTGTGATGTCTGATTGACTCCCTGGAGGCAAAGTGATGATTCTTCCCCCAGGCCACCCTGCACAGGGTACCAGTGTCACTAGAGTGTAGCCCCTGGATCCTCTCACTAGAGTCCGTGTCCCTGGAGGAAGAGGTCCCGTGTGTCATGTCCTGCTCCCTACGTAAGTCCTCAGAGGAGCCAGCCAGGCCTAGAAAAATGACAGGATCAGCAAATACTCTGAATGAATCCTTGGAGTGAGTGGGACAGACAGAGGAGCTCTGCTCAGTTACCAAAGGAGCCCAAGGAGGATGCCAGGGGTACAGGGACCGTGATGTCCAGCCCACCTCCCTGGACAAGCCCTGATGTGGCCCCAGAGAGATCAGAGGCCTAGCGGGACAGCCTGCTCCCAGCATGGGGCTGGCTTCAAGTCAAAGAGCCCCGTGGTGCTGGTGGGACAGGAAGTGACCTGCCGTGGGCTGCTGGTTCTGTCCCTGGAGCCCAGCCCTGGAGAGGCCAAAGGGAGGAGAGGCCCAATGGAACACGGGACCCAGTTTTCAGCCACGGGCAGGGTGTCAGCAGAGCCCGCCAGGCAGCTGGACTGGCCCTGAGCTCCTGCCTCCCCTCTCCCCCACCTGGGGGCAGAGAGGTGCCCAGAGGTGCAACCCTTGGGACGGTGGTGCTGGGGCAGAGGTCTTGGAAGGCTCTGGATCTTCTGATGGGGTGGAGGGTGGGGGGCCACAGGCAGAGGTGGGCACAAGTTGGAGCACCAGGCACACCCAGCCCCCACCCTCCTGTGCTCAGGAGAGGTGCAGGGGTCTTACCTCAGCTGTCATGGGAGCTGCCCAAGTGGTTGTTCGATCCTGTGCTCAGAACCACACCCCGAGCAATTAAGAGACTCTGTGGGGGACTCCGCCGTTTGCAAGGTCCCCAGGTGATATCAATGGGCAGCTCAGACAAAGCACCAAATTCTTCAGCAGGTTCCCCAGTGTTATGGTTTAGATCTTAAATTCTCCCAAAAGCCCATGAATTAAGGACTTGGTCACCAGCCTGTGGCACTGTTGGGGGCTGGCTTTAGAGGTGGGGCCTAGTGAGCAGCAGTTAGGTCACTGGGGCATGCCCCTGAGGTGATCCTGGGACCCTGGCCCTTCTCTCTCCCTCTTTTCCCCTCCCAGCCACCGTGAGGCGAGTAGACCTGCCCCGATGCTCACTCCCCCCAGGTGCTGCCTCCCCACAGGCCCGGAGCAACAGAGCCCAGTGACCAGGGACTCAGACCACGAGCCAAAATAAACCTTTCCTCTTCTCAGTTGTTTACCTCTGGTATTATCATAGCCACAGAAATCTGTTCTTTGAAAAGACTAAAAGATGGACAAACTTCTGACAATAAGAAAAACAGATGTAATAATAGTAAGGAAGAGGAGGAAAAAAACCAGAAAGAAAAATAATAAATAACTAGATCTAACAGTTAACTAAAAAGTATTAGTAACAATATGTCATTAAACATTTGGGGAAATGTAAAACATCAAAATTAAGAAAAATGAACAACTATTAAAGATCTAAATAAAGCAGAGTTTTCTCCCCTTTCCCTCACAGTATCCCCAGGACTAAATAATCATATGGCAAGCTTACTCAGACTCCCCGAAAGGACAGTCCCTTCTGATACAACCCATTCTAGAGCAAAGGAAAGGAGGAAGGCAACCCAACTCATCTCAAGAGAGAAGTTGACCCCAAACCTGGTAGAGACAATTCACAGGAACCAAAAAATTCAAGGCCTGTTTTTCTTATAAACATGGGTATAAAAATCCTTAATAAAATATTATCTAACTGAATTTAGCAGTATATATAAAATTTATGCATTTAGACTGAGTAGAGATCATTCTAAGAATGCAATAATATTCAGCACTGGAAGGTCCACCCACACAATTCACCCCACTAATGAGAAGGCTGCCACAGTCACCTCAACCAGTGCAGAGACCGCTTTTGGTAAATACCATACCGACAATATCTATTAGCACCATCTTCAGGACAGGGACAAGTCAAGGATGCTACTACCACCATTCCATTAAATTGCATTGGAGGTCCAAGCCAATGATATAAGACAAGAAAAAGAAAGTATATGGATTGAAAAAGAAGAGACAAAGCCACCACTCTCAGCAAGTTACATAATCATGTATGTAGAGAATCAAATGGAACCAACTATTAGAATGATAGAGTTAGTTAGGCAAGGTTCCTAGATAGAAAAGCAACTCCCAGAAATGAATAGTATTTCTCTATATGAACAACAACCAAATAGGAAATAAAATAGAAAATAAGAGAACCTTTTAAATAGCCCTGAAGTATCTAGGAATCAGGAAAGGCAAGACTTTTATGAAAATTTTGAACACTCAAAAGACAAAGGATATCTAAATTAACAGAAAGATACACTATATTTCTCTTTTCTAAGACCTCTTTCCACTAGGATATTATAAGTTCCGAAGAGGTGAGAACCTTTGTTGTTGGTGTGTACACTGTGAATAGAGCAGTGTTTGACACTAAATAGCCCCTTGCTAAATATTTGTTCATTGGATTAAATGTGAAGATGCCAGTTCTTTTCCAACTAATATTTGCAACTCAAATCCAAATTCGAGCAAAAATAAGATAAATAAAATCACAAATTTTTAAAGAAATTCATGCAAGACTTCTGGCAGAATTTCACAATGTTATTCAAAAATTCTAAGATGTTTATGGAATAATGAAAGTCTACATTAGACACTTAAAAGGAAATAGTGCAAAGAGGGATTCATTTTTAGACACAGACACTGCAAAACTAATAAAAACAAGTGATACTTTAAAAACAAGTGGTACTGTAAAATGCTACAAATAGGGAAGGTG